ATGCCTGACTCCTCGGGGCCACTGGGTAGGGTGGGGGTTTGGAACAGGTGTTCTCTGGCCTGGTCTCACTGGGGCCTCCACTCCTCACTCGGTGACACTGCTGTTTGTCTGGCTTCTCGAACCCACGGGGGGCTCTTTCCCTCCTTGGGCCTTTGCTCGGGTGGGACCCTGCACCTGGAGTGTGATCGCCCCTTTGCCTGACTGGGTCCCTCTCTTGTTCATGTCCAGCCTCAATGGCCACCTCCTCGGGGGTCCACACAACAAAAGAGCTCTTTGTGTCACCTAGTGTCTGTCTGTCCTGCTCAGTTGTGAACTCCCCCCCCACCCCCCACCCCCCAGAGCAGGGATGGGTCCTGCTTGCTCACAGCTGTATCCCTAGGGCCTGGCACACTGTAAGTGCCCAGCAAACGTCAGTCCCCTCCGTCCCCTCCAGTCAGTGACTTTCTACCTATGATGTCTCAGATATCCCCTAATCCTCTTTGGCCTCAGTCTCCAAATCTGGGAAATGGAACCATTCAGGTGTATCCCAAAGTGTTCGGAAGAAGAGACAGAGCTTAGTAATGGGGAGTGGGCTATCCCCCACCGGAGGGGCTGGGCTTGACCAAAAGAGGGGCTCTCAGAGGCCAGAGACCAGCACCAAGCCTGTGCTGGGCTGAGAACGTAGAGGAAGGGTCAAGGAGGTTGGTAGGAGGCAGGGAGCCTGAGCAGGGGTAGAGGCAAGAGGCACTAGGGAAACCCAACACCTTGCCTCTCAGAACCGCCTCCTGGCAGAAGCCCACCCACCAGACACCCCCCCCCCCCCCCGCGCCCTCCCTGCACCCCGGCCCGCCTCCCAGCTGGTTCGGATGGAACAGAACGGGCACGTCCTCTGTGCTAGGCCTTACCCTGAGTGTTTTGTGGGCATTATCTCAACACTCGGCACAGTCCCATGGGGGGGGGGGTGTGCTATTATTATCCCCATTTTGCCGATGAGGAAAGAGCAGCTGAGCAGGGTTTAAGAAACGTGTCCAAGGTCACTCAGCTTGTAAGTAGTAGGGCCGAGCTACAAACCCAGGGTCGATTCCAGAGCCCGAGCTCTCACCCCTCAGCCACATTCGCACCGGCCTTGGCCTCCCCAGGGACCAAGAGGGGAGGAAGGGGGGGGCCACTATCCACTTGTCCAGTCGAGCGGGCACCAGAACGAGGGGAGCAGAGCCTGCAAGCTTGCCCCGGGACACCCCACTCTTGGGACTGGACAGGTGTCGCAGGGAGCGGGCACGTAGCCAGGGGCAGACAGAGGGTGGCCCGGGGCAGCAGGCATCTGCTCACAAAATGCTGGGGTGTCTTGGGCCCCCCGCACCCCTCTGTCTGCACTTACCCCGAGATGATCTCATCTACTCCCATGGGTTTAAATCTCACCTCTACTGGGACTTCCAAATTTACATTTCCAGCCCGCCTTCCCCTGAGCTTCAGGCTTGCATCACCACACGGCCCACCTTACACTTCAGACTGAACATGTTCAAAAGCAAGCTCCCGATCTTACCCCCGTGCCTGCTCCTCCCGTCCTTCGATAATGGCACCAACACCCACCCAGAGTCAAAGACACTGATGTCAGCCTTGAGTCCCCTTTCTTCACCCTCCCCATCCCCATCCCAGCAAGTCTTGTGGGGACTTCCCTCCAAAATGTCCCCTGAAGCCCACCATTCTCCTTCTCCCCACCGTGAGAGCCCTGGGCCAGGCTCCCCGACAGCTCTGGCTCACCGTAGCAGCCTCCTCCCCTGTCCCTCACCCCCTCCCCAACTTACACACTTGCTGGAGTCAGCTCAAGGCACTCTACTACTTAAAAGCTTCTGGCAATAATGAAAATGCACCCAACTCCGCATCGTAGCCTCGGGGCCTTGTAGACCCACCCCGTGCCCATCTCTCTCTGATGCCATGTTGCCCTTGCCCACCAAACAACCAGCTACCGTGGCTCCTTTCTGTTCTTTGAACACACCAAATGTATTAGTGCCCCAGGGCCTTTGCCTTTGCTCCCTCCACCTAGAATGCTGCCCCGTCCCATGGCTTCTCATCTCAGATGCTACCCCCTCCTAGAAACCTTCTCTGACCTCCCTGTGGAAAGCGGCCCTTCCTCCTTCCACGGGACTGACCACATTCTCCGGTTGCCTTCTTCGTATACCTGTCCCTGTGTTTACTATTTCAGAGGTTTCCCCCTCTGGAATGCAAAGCTTTTGTCTTTTCCACCCTGGAATCTCTAGTGCTGTGACACTGTGGACACTCTACGAATGTCCGAGTGACTAAATGAATTAGCCTCAGTTTCCCCTTCTTTCAAAATGGGATGAAGAAAGAGCATAGGCCCAGAGAAGTCCTAGCAGCGTCCTGGGCAGCTGCGGGGCCACTTCCGTTGCACAGCTGCCACCAGGGCCCCCCCCCCCGCCCCTGGGGTGCCCAGGAGCCCGGGCTGGCCCGGAGCAGCCTCTGCTTCCCCTGGTGCATTTTCCACTTCCTCTCCATGGGGTGTTGGCTCCTGGGAAGCCCCAGGAGGCTGAGCGGCTGTTACCATGCTCACCAGTCTGGGGACCCAGCCCTCGGAGGAGAGGCCAGGAGCCCGTGACACCCCGCCTATCCTCCTGCAGGGCCACTGTCAGGTGCAGGAGGCATAAGAGGGCCCAGGGTTCCTGGAACAGAGTCCACATCTTGCTCCAGTCAACAAGCTAACAGCGGCTACAGTCAGCTGGGGCCTGGCTGGTCTGCTGGACAGCGAACTCCAGGAAGACAGGGGCCAGGTCTGTCCTAGCACGCATGGGTCCCCAAACCGAACTGACCATCAGCAGCTCCCTCCCAACACGGGCTTTTACACTCAGGGACTCACCGGAGCCCTGCGCCACCCTCTCAGGAAGGCAGGGCAGCCACTGCCAGTGTTCCCATCCCACAGATGGGGAAAATGGAGGCCCATGCTCCTGCATGTCCCCGTGTCTGGTTCAGGGCCTGGTTCTCGGGGGCTCTTAAGATTGAGATTAGGAACCTGGGCTTTGGAATATAATAGATGCTGTCCTTCCTGGCTGTGTGATTCTGGGTCTGTTTCCTCATCTGCAGGATGGGCACCATGGTACCTGCCTCACGGGGCTGTTGTGAGCCGTCCCGAGAAGATTGGTGTGGGGCACACGAGAAGGGCTCAGCAGATGGGGGCTGAGGTCACCTTCCCTGCCCCCCCCCCACCTCCTCGGCCCAGGGCACACAGCCTGCAATAAGCAGGCGTTCAGCAAATGTTCAGTGGATGAAGGTAGGACTATGGTCTGTACACGTAAAGTGCTGCATTTCCATGGGTGCCATTAAAGCACTAAGGCCTCTGGGCTTTACTGTCTCCAGAGTCCCCCCACTCCCTCACCCTGACTGCTGGGCCACAGGGAAGGGGCCCATCTGTGTATCTCTTGCCGGTTTGTCTCTGCAGCTCTGGGGGGGTCACGTGAGCAGGAGGGGGGCTCTGTGGGAGCCGGTCCCAAGAGACGGACGGCCTCCCCCTCTGCTGACCAGATGGGCCCAGCCGCCCCCAGTGGTGGCTTTCCCATGTCTGCCAGATACACTGCTCCAGTCAGAACCCTTCCCTTGAGCCCCAGGGCTGCCCCTGGTCTTCTCAGTCATATGAGGGGCAGGAGCAACCATCCAGGCCAGCTGTCCTCATTAGAGGTGGGGAAACAGGCTCAGAGAGGGCAAGTGATTGGTCTGAGGCATCACAGCAGAACCTGGCTTGGATCCAGGATGTCTCCTTAGAACCGCTGCCCTCTGAGGGAGGGGCCTCTGCCTCCCTCGCCAGTGGCTTCCTCAGCCTGGAAGGTCACTGGGAGAAAGCTAGGGTTTCTGAAGAAGGTGAGGGAGGGACATGCCAGAGTGCGGAGGCCAGTGTCACTGCCTTCTCCCTGTCTGCCCAGCCCCCCTCCCCCTCCCGGGAGAGCGTCATCCTCTTCTCAGCACGGAAAAGCCATCCCCGCGTCCGTTTTATTTGGGGAGCCTGGGCAAGGGGGTCACGACCCTACCTGCCCCCCTAAACCCAGGACCTTTTGTCTTTGCGGTTGCCCCCCACTCCCTGCCACCTGGCCCTCCCAGCGCCCTGTGGGATCAGAGGCAGGAGGGGGATTAGGTTCTGCAAATGGCTCCCCCCTCCCCGCCATCCTGCTTCCCTGTCTTAGTCATCTCTGCCCTCCGCCGCCTTCTCCCTCCATTACAAGCCCTCTGCCAGGCCCCGGGGAGAGCGACCGCGGCAGGCGCCCCCCACCCAGGGGCGGCGGCGGAGCCAGCGGCCGGCGGCTCGCAAGAGGATCAGAAGCGGTCTCACCGCCCCCCCCCCCCTGGTGGGGCCGTTCCCCCCCCCCCCCCCCCCCCCCCCCCCGGCCGCCGCGCTGCGCACGGATGGCGGCGGGAGCTGCAGAGGTGTGTGTGTGTGTGTGTGTGTGTGTGTGTGTGTGTGTGTGAGGGGGGAGGCTGTGTCTGGTCCTCGATGCCCGGGGGCTGTGTCCTCTCCCAGGGACACAGCTGGGGAGAGGGTTCCCAGCCTTGGCCCAGGGATCCTCATGGGGGAGGGAGCTGTCTTCCGTGGAGCCCAGGGCCGGGGAGCACTGCCCCTGGGGTGCTGCCCGCTCCGGGGAACGCGGGAGCCGAAGGGAGGCGCTGAGTAATGCAGGCCCCCTTGGTGCCTGTACTGGGGGAGGGGGGACCCTTTGCCAGGGTCTCTTAGCAGAGCGCCGTCTTCCCTAAAGGATGTGGCAGAGGAGGGGGGCGTGATACCGTGGTCGGTGGCTTGACGACGTTTGCGGGCAAGCGGGGGGCGCTGCTGCCCCTGAGGGGCTCTCGGGGAGGGGGGGCCGCCTCCTTCTGGCTGGAGGTGGGGGGCGCGCCGTCCGCGGGTACAGCGCCAAGGGCTGCGAGGTCGCGGTGCCGTCGGGGCTGGGGGGTGGGGGGCGGAGGCCCGGGGGCCCGGGCGCCCGGGCGGGGGGAGTCCCCGCTCCGAGGCGCGCCGCTCCTACCTGCCGACGAAATTCTCGAGCACCGAGCTCTTGCCGGCGCTCTGGCCGCCCACCACGGCGATCTGCGGCAGGTCGAGGTCCGCGTTCTGGCCGATAGCGGAGAAGGCGTCCTGCAGCCGGTTGACCAGCGGGATGAGATCCTCCATGCCGCGGTTCCCCATGGCTGCGGCGGGCCCCGCGGGCTACGATCCGGCCGCCGCTCCGGCTCCCGGCTCCGGCTCCCGGCTCCGGCTCCGGCTCCGGCTCCGCCGCTGCAGCCGCGCGCTCCGACTGCCTGTGCCGCGGACCCCCCGCCCCTCCGGGAGTGGATCGGAGCTCTGCGTCAGGATGCCGCCAGAGGGCGCCCACGGCGCTGCGGGATGGCAGTCGTGCGCAGGTGCAGCCTGCGGCACCATGGGGATTGTAGTTTTCTTCATCTGCGGGTTTGGGGCGCTGGAGCCGTGTCTGGCGGGGGGGCTCTGATGCTGCAAAGCGGTATCATTCCTGGAAATGGGCGAGGTGTACCCCTAGTGCAGGGCCTCTTGGATAGTGGTCATGGCTGTCTCACTCAATCTTACAGATGAGGAAACTGAGGCTTGGAAAGAGATGGGTCTCCTTCAAGGTCACAGTATCCTGACCTGGAGTTCCACTTGGCCTTATTGCTTTCTTCTACTCTAGGTTCTGATACTAATTCATGGCGGCATGCCCCTGCCCGCCTTTGGGTTTCAGTTTCCCTGTTTCTAGAAGGAGAAAGAACATTAATTCAACAAATATTTATTGAGCACCTACCAAAACCCAGTCCCTGTTGTAGGCAGTAGAGGTACAACAATAAACAAGACCAACAATGTCTCCACCCTTACAGATCTTACGTTGGGTGCTGGAGACAGACAGCAAATGAATAACCAGGTGAATGAAATAGTAATAGTGAAAATAGTTTATACCAATAGTGATGGAAGAAATAAACAGGATGTGAAGAGAGGTACCTGTGTTGGGTGCGCAGGTCTACTTAGCCTGGGAGAAGTTGGGTGGTTCTCTGAAACGGTGACATTTGAGAAGAGACCTAGATGATGAGAAGGAGCCAGCCACAGGCAGATCAGGAGGGGAGAGCAGGCCAAACTGAATGAACAGCAAGTATAAGGGCCCTGACCCTTGCAAGGCCTTCTTTCTGAGAGTGGGGACTTCTTGTCCCAGAGAGTGTCAGACTTTGCCCCAACCCATCAGGGTGCTGGTAAAATTTGGATTTGAATCCAGGACTCCTATCTATCTACCCTATCTATCCCTTTCACACGGAGAGACCAGGGGCCACAGGCCTAGCCATTCACCTCTGCATTTAAGAAACCTCATTTGGACAGCCCACAAAGAGTCTAGGGAAGAGAGGTCAGCATACCCTGTGCTGCTGGGCATCAGCAGGTCACCCTGTATGTGAATGTGAGGGGTGGGGGTGGGGGCCACTGCTGGGAGGGCAGCGGCCTGGGAATCAGAGACTGTCATTCATTCACCCATTTAATGCCTATTAACTGAGCCAGGCGCTATGCTAGACCCCGGAGATAAAGCAGGAGGCAAAATGAACAAAGTCCTTACCCATATGTGGAAAAAGAGAGACAAAGTATACACAAGCCAATGAATATGACTCTGTCAGATCGTGATGGGAAAGTCAGGGGCAGGGGAGTGTTTTTTAGGGTGATGAGCATAAGATTCTGGTACAAATGTAAGCAGAGACCTGAAGGAAGTAAGGAAACGACCCGCGTGGACATCTAGGTGTGGGGGGTGGGGTGGGGCTGGGGGTTCCAGGCAAGCAGAGGAAACTGAACGGACCTTGCCCCAGGAGCCTGGCCTGGGCTTTAGTCAAGCTGTGTGATTCAGGTGCTCACATGCCTCTGGGCCTCAGTTATCTAATCTGGGTAATGGGGATAATGAGAGAATAGAATCCCTGTGAGAGCCTGGCCCTGGCCTGGTGCTCAGGAGAACGTTATTAAACCAGTGCTTTGAGCCCTCCTGGCAGCTGGAGCTTCAGCTACCCATGATGCTCATCTTGAACAGCTGCTTAGAGCCAGCCACTGTATGATGTTCTGAGAACCAGAGAGGGCGGAGAGGAAGCCTGGAGTGGAGCCTTTAGTTTGGGGAGGGGGTGCAGTTTACAGATGTCTGCCCGGAGGGGCACCGTCATGGCTGGGTTGTTTTCCCTAATTACAGTAGTGAAACTTACTGTAAAAGACTTTACCAAATATTTGAAAGCTTCTGGTCATCCTCCCACCCACAGATAACTGTTATTTATAGTTTTAATTATTATTATTTTACAGGGGGGAGAGAGGGGCAGAGGCAGAGAGAGAGAGAGAGAGAGAGAGAGAGAGAGAGAGAGAGAGAGACAGAGGGAATCTCAAGCAGGTTCCCCACTCAGTGCAGAGCCCAGTTTGGGGCTTGATCCCACAACGCTGAAATCATGACCTGAGCTGAAATCAAGAGTTGGATGCTTAACTGACTGAGCCACCCGGGGGGCCCTTATAATTTTTATAGTGTTTATTCTGTGGGTTTTCCATATATATTCATTTTATTTGATTTTGTGTTTACAGAAATGGGATCATACTATAGGTCTGGTACTGCTGTATCACTGATGCAGCAAGACCGGCTGCTTGGGCATCACCTGGGGTTTGTCAGAAATGTGGAATCTCAGGCTCTACTCATGATCTGTTGGGTCATAGCCTGCGGTTAACAAGAACCAAAGGCCCCAAAAGATTCCCATTCCTTCCCCAGATACCCTATTCCTTCAACTCCTATTTGGAGAAGTTGGAGAAACTCTGATATATATTATTATATGCACCTTGGGATCGGGTGGGGAGTTGGGGGAGGGTTTTAACAAAATCATTCTATGATTTACCTGGAAAAAAGATGTTATATGATTGGGAATTTGGCAAGACATTTTTTTTTTTTTTTGTAAAGCATGACAGTGTTGGGGGCTTGTGCTATGGAGGCATTAAAATATATCCCAAAACTGTAATAATTACATTATATGGTAGCATCATGGGGAGAGATGGGTAGATTCCTGGAGCAGAATAGGTCTGGACATAGATCTTTGTGAGTCTAAGAGTTCATTACATAATAAAGGTGCAGCTCGAATTAGAGGCAAGAAAGAGGCCTCCAGGTGATGGTACAGCCTCAGACTTCATTTCAGATGCAAGGAGATGGGGTTTCTCTTTTGCCTCAGAATCTAGTCCACTGGGGGGCTTTGCCAGCAAGGTATTGGTTACTAGACACAAGTCTAGTGCTGAACAGGGTCCCCAACGAGTTACCAGCTATTATCTTGTCTGGTCTTCAAGGAGTCAGCACAGAGTCAGATACATTTTTAAAAATTCACTCCCTTCCCGTGATAAAGTCATCCAAACCCATCACAGCAAAAGTGAAAGCGCTCCACTACACACATATATTTATTTTTTTCAAAACCCGGATCATAATTGTGTATACGGTTGTGTAACCTGCTGAGTTCACTTCACATCATATTGTGAGTGTTTGCATACCCTTTGAAACATAATTTTTCAAATCAAGTATATATATTTATTTATTTTCAGGAATAGAATTTAGTGATTCGTCACTTACACATAACACCCAGTGCTCATCTCAACCAGTGTCCTCCTTAATGCCCCTCATCCCTTTGCCCCTTCCTCCCACCTAACACCCCACTAGCAACCCTCAGTTTGTTCTCTGTATTTAAGAGTCTTACGGTCTGTCTCCCTCTCTGTTTTTATATTATTTTTGCTTCCCTTCCCTTAGTTTCATCTGTGTTTTAAAAATTTTTTAAATGTTTATTCATTTTTGAAAGAGAGAGACAGAGCACAAGCAGGGCTGGGGCAGAGAGAGAGGGGAACACAGAATCCGAAGCAGGATCCAGGCTCCAACCTGCCAGCACAGAGCCCAACGTGGGGCTTGAACTCACGAACAGTGAGATCATGACCTGAGCTGAAGCCGGACGCTCAAACGACTGAGCCACCCAGGTGCCCCATATGTTCATCTGTTTTTATCTTCAATTCCACATCTGAGTGAAATCATATGATATTCGTCTTTCTTGACTGACTTATTTTGCCTAGCATAATACACTCTAGTTCTATCCACGTTGTTGCAAATGGCAAGATTTCATTCTTTTTGATCGTCAAATAATATTCTATTGAATGTATATACCACATCTTCTTTATCCATTCATCAGTTGATGGACATTTGGGCTCTGAAAGCAGAATTTCTTTTTTTTCAAATTTTAATGTTTATTCATTTTTGAGAGGCAGAGAGCAAGCAGGGGAGGGGCTGAGAGAGAGAGAGAGAGAGAGAGAGAGAGAGAGAGAGAGGATACAGAATCAGAAGCAGGCTCCAGGCTCTGAGCTGTCAGCACAGAACCAATGTGGGTGGAACCCATGAACAGTGAGATCATGACCGGAGCCAAAGTCCCACACTCAACCGACTGAGCCACCCAGCCGCCCCTGAAAGCATAATTTCTCATGGCTGTTTGCCTGCCACTCCTTAAGAGGCAGACCCCATGATTTACCTAGCTGTTCCCCTAAAGTTGATTACTTTCCAGACAGCTATTATCAGTAATGTTTCCATGAATGACCTACTGGCTTTAAAAAGTCTTGTTTCTGATTAGTTTCTTGGGCAAGTTTCCTGCAAGAGGGGTTACCAGGTCAAAGGGCAGAACACGTTCAATAGTCTTGATGGAGAATTTACAGTAGATTTTCAGAAAGATGAATCAACACAGGATCACCAGCATGAACATTATTTTTAGTGTTTTGTTTGTTTTTACTCTGGCAATTTACTAAACTTACACTGTGTCAAGTGCCAGTATTAAGCATTACATAATATTATCTTCACACCCACCATGGAAGGGAAGAAGAAACCGGCTCAGAGAAGACTCCCCTGTCAACCCGGGTCACCTAACCAGAAGGTAGTGAAGCCCCGATTCAATTTCTCCAACTTCTGCTGGCACTCAGACCAGGTGTCAGCGTGCTTGGACCTGGGTGGAAGCCTAAGCGATCTTGACTCTACTCCTTCTCTCCCTCCCCATTGCCTCTGTCTCGGTTCTCACCAGAGTGAGTTTTCTAATCCAGGCGGATGCGATGCCGTCATACCCTAGCGCTCTCTGCCCTGCGGGGATAAAGCCCAAGGCCAGGCCTTCAAAGCTCCCATGCTCCAGGCTGCCCTTCCACCCAAGGGCGCAACGTCCTGCTAACTCGAGCCACTTTCGCGTCTCTAAATCCAGGCCGAATTAGGCACCTGTGCTGCTGCCTGGGGCTGCAGTGGAGCCGGTCCAGA